GCAATTGAAGTACACTACAGTGTAGGCCCCCATTGAAGAATCTTACATACTCGCATTGAAACGACACGGGTAAGACAGGAGCGCAATGGTATAACCCGCGAGTCGATCGACGTTATCCTTACAATGTCGTTAAGAGGTGCACACAATCGTTGTCGCGCAATCGGCAGGCAACTGCAACATCAAGAATCCATGCGTTGAGTGAATAATACTGCTACAAAAAAAATTTGACTCTTCCGTGGAACGCATTAGCCGTGGTGTCGAGAAGTCTCCGTTTCAAAGGGGGTAGGGGCATCCCGCTCGTATTACATCGACGCTACTAGTTGTATGCAGACCCTCGCGCAAACGAAATATTTTAAATCTAAACATCAAGTGTCGCACGCAACACCGGCTGTACGCGTTCGGCCGGTCGCAGTCGGATGGTCCGGTTCCGTCATTTTCCCGGGGCTTGCCCTCTCCCTTTTTCTCTCGCCTCCCGGACTGACCTGCTCTATTTGGCACTCGGTATCAGGAGTATTTGGATACGTATCGGCCGTCTTGAATTACGAGGTCTCGGGCTTTCCAAGCTTCGATTGCTCTACCGCTCTCCGAGTGTGTACGTGTCTCTGTGTATGTGGGTGTGCATGCGATCTCTCGTCGGTACGCCCGATAGATAGATGTCGCGACGTCGTTATTGAATTCTCGTCTGGGACGGAGGAACCGCTAGACAAATATCTCTTGCTTGTCGGAGTCGGAGTCGGAGTCCCAGAAGAAGTATGAGTAAAACTCCTCGGAGGTGGCCACTTGGTGGCAGGGCTCACGAGGGGGTTATGGGTTGGCGCGAGAGGCGATTGCGCCGGCAGCCGGCAGTCACAGCTTAAGCTCGTTCGCTATTTGACTGGCGATCATTTTGAAGCCGATAGAGGTGCCCGAAATGCGCTTAAACCGTACACCATTCAGGGAAAGTCGCGGCAGTTTGCACACTTCGATCTCCCATTGAACTTGACTGTCCGTCGCGGCGTCCCCGTACGTGCACAGCAGCAAGAACCGCTCGCGCTGCTCGTATTGACACTTGTTGGCATCCAGCACCTGCGGGAAACATTTCATTTCTCTCTACACACCCCGCTTTTCTTTTCGAATCTTACTCTACTTTTATTCTTTTCTCTCGTTAATCGGCTCGACGCTTCGACGCGTTCGCCGCGTCACGGCATAGGAATTTCACTCGCTAAACGTCCAGTTATCTACGAATACGGTCGCGTCGAGCATCGAGCGTCACTATACACGTGTCGTCAACGAACTTAACTTCCTTAGAAATTACTTATTCGTACGAGTAATCCGCTTTATTACGACTGGTACACTACCTTCCGAATTTCGGACATGATTTCGTTAGGGTCTCGACTGCTAGTTGTCTTCATGCTCCAGGTGAAGCGCAAACTACGTGGCTTTACCTGCTCGTCGTTAGTGGTTGCAACACTGCAAAAGAAAATCCAGGTTAGAGTCTTTCGTCTGTCGACGATATTTGCGTGAACGGTAATTCGATATCAAGTTTGGAAATACGGCACTATTTCTAGTACGTTTAACGCGCATTGGAATTGCCCTGAAAAAATACATAGGCACCAAAACGTATCGCAACTTTGACGTTTACGATTTATCTTACTCGCTACACACATCCGTACGATATTCCTACTAACTTTAACCCACAGATATTGGTATGCAATGTTCGTACATTAAACGGATATATAGAATTTTTTAAAGTCAATATATATGACGTATAAAGTAGAAACTGGAGACGTGTGGAAAAATACTACAATATAATTATGGAGTTGTAAAGTATTTAATACCCCACGAGGACACACATGCATGGCATGCTGACGTAACTAGGTAATGTTTTATGAGTGTTGGACGAAATCTCACAAACGGTAAAATTCAGACACGATTGGCATTATCGGCTGGTTGCGTATTAGATGTCCGCGCGAATAAGTATACTCGTTGCGGAGTATCGGATCGATCGAAGTCGAACCATTGGATGTACGTTTCGATCAAAGAGTGAATGAGGCGATATTGCCGATTTTTCATACATATGTAACAAGTGTGGCAAAAAATGATAGCCATTTCATTGGGAGCGATGTCCAACTCGATGAAACATGCAGCGATGCAAAACACATATTCAACACCGTTATTAAGAAATGTCTGAAGAAACTGTTTCAAAGTATCGGAAAGTAACCTAAGGATGGTATAAACTTCTATATAGCGACTTCTCTAAGAACCCGACGCTCGCAGGGCGACATAGCGCGCGTACTAATTGCTGAGTAACGAAAAAAGCTATCAACGCAGTGCTAATCGATGACAAAGGTGAAGATAATCGCTGTAAGAAACAAGTGGCGCGTGTCGACAAATAAGAATGAGCATATAAACAGTGAATCATCGATTATTATTTAAAGGGGACTCGTCGAGTTAAACTCGCCGACACGTTTCGATTGTATGCCTCGTCGGTCAATGAACTTTCGTTACAGATTGGCTTATGCAAATAGCAGGAGCATTGGAGATGCTTTGATTCATTACTTGTAAATTGTCGATCACACACGGGTGGCACATACTTAACGACGTTACTATGTCGGTTAGTAAGCGTAACTTACAATAGATCACACTATTTCGGAACACTCGGGAAGTAATCGTATAGTACGAGATATTACTGTGTACTGTAACATACCTCACTACTGGATGCTTGGGAGGTACGGATGGGTCCATGGGGCTGAAATAACAAAACAAAGGCAATTGCTAACAAACACTGAACTCGATAAAAACAATGAAATCTCGCTAAGTACAACCACCACCAGCCTGTTACAACTGAAACTTTAGTAACCACGAGGAGACTGCTGGTAAACGATGAGCTACATCAATGTTTCATCCGACGTTCCGGAAATAGCGCGACATTATTGGTTATTTTCGATATCTCCACAATTTAGTTATGGAAGTCGTGTAACAATAATAACAAACGGTGAACGTGTAATGCGAACATATCGAGAAGCATTACGGATGTACGTATCTCCGTGAAGAGTTCGAAATTAAAGGGTGTATTGTTGAGAAATCAATGCCTCGCGAACAAACGAAAGTAATCGGTAGTTTTGCGATGACAAGTGTCACTCGATACAAGCTCATTCGGAAAACCTTTGCGATGCAAAAAAAAGGAAGGTCATGCACTGCGCACGCAAATCGAAACACTTGCTACGAGTCAACGGCATTCCTTCTAAAAGAGGTATTCGGAAATAAATCGGTACAATGTTTACAAGACAGTTTTAAAATATTTATTAATACGAAACTATCGCTATTATTGCTACTTATAGTTATTAAATAGTAATTCACTCCTGTATCTAAGTGAGCTATTATCTGCACTCCAAGTGACAAGACGGATAACGATCGTTCTTTGTCTTACTCCGTTTAAATGCTGGCATAACTATACGTAACGGAAAGTGGATAGAAACATTCTAAATGATTCTATGGGAATACAGCTGGAGAGCAGTGAACAGCGCATCCGTCTCAGGTATACTAAACTTTCGTTTTTATGTCTAAACCGCAAAACGTCAGATTATCCGTCGATTAAGTGGCTAAGGATCAACCATTTGCAGGACAAAAATCTAACGCTCTGCCAACGCAGATGTCAAAACGGGCTCGTGGATACTCAACTTTACATATACATTTTTATGTTTATCATNTATATTCATCTAATTGTTTAACATCTCTTTCTCTCTGTTTGACAGTTACGCGTATCCATTTACCGAGTGTCCTTAGGCTTCTTATATTAACGACACGCTACAATCCTCCATGCGTCTGCAGGAAAGCACGTGGGTTATGCCATGGATGTCTTAAAGTATATAATGAGAATGTAACATATCAAAGCATTCATCAATGCGAAAATATACACTTTGCAAACTGAAGAAAACACAGCACGTTTTGGTATACACATCATATACTGAAAGGCCTATATATGTATAGAATATTTTATCACTTAACTAGAAATGCATGTAATATTTTTATAGTTGGCATGAGAAATCCTACAACGTTTAGTTGACCTACCAGTAACGCAAGAAAGGCTGATGGTTAAAGTTTACTTGAATCTTTATGAACAATGGAAAACGTTGTTTTGGTCAGTGTGACATGAAAGAAGTTCAATTTTATAGGTAAAAACAAGATTTGAAGGATAGAAGCAACTTTTTGTTACTACAAAAAAATTTGTTGACATCCCCCTTAGAGGCCCAATATATCATTGTATAATGCGCAGGATATTACCAAAGTTATGACTAGGCAACGATATTTCGGCCACAAAACATTTCGTACTTTGTTCCTGCATAAATCCGGAGTGTTTGTTTTGACATTTCTTTAATGTGTAAAATTAAAGCAATGAATAATATCACTTGTCATATATTTTGATTTAATAGAATTCATTGCTTTTAAGTGCTATCTAAGAAATGAATTTGACATTTAAACTATATTGAATTTTGAAATATTGCGGTGGTTTACTACTTTCAAGTAAGAATTAAAAAAACAATACACACTCTGAAGCGAATGCAATGTTGAGCATGAACAATCCATTTTTTTTATATTAATGAAAATGGAAAAGAAATTTCCAATTCTTGTTTAACCGAATTCATGTATTTAGAATAAAACCAGATACTATGAAATATGTAACCGCATTTATGTTGTGTAAATTATTTGTATTGTTTATCCAATTGAACGTTTTCAAAAGACGTCCTATTTGAGACTAATTTAAAGTACTATGCAAAATCATTGCAAAACAAAGCTTATCGTGTGAATTTCCATATGGTATGTAGATATATTTTCATGAAACGTAGTAAGAGTGTGAAATAACATGATAGTTCACAGGACTGAACAGATGCCAAGATTTGTATTTACATATTTTACATTAATAAAATTAACTGTATGAAGTATAATCAATTAATAAAGAATATCCACGTTTAAAAATGTGACGTTAAATTCTGGCAAACAAATTTTTTTAATCTGACGTCTTCTATGTACGGATTTTATTTAAGATCCAAAGAAACACAATCTAGTGTTATTTGTCGTGAAATACGTTAAACGATAATATTGCGAAAATACACTTTGTGGTCGAATGGATTGTCTTTTTTTTTATAAGGAATCTTACTTGTTACATTCCTAAATTTCCAACAATGCACAACGAATGTACTGTTGTTGATTTGATTTGAAAATGATTACAAAAATATACATCGCTGCTAAATTACTTCATGAAATAAGCAGCCTTTGAGAATTTTCATCACTACATTGAACTATCTAAATACGATGTATCGATTTAAAGATTCGAGAGGTAATCAAATCTCTAACATTAGAAATTAATCCGCTGGAAGAATATATCTTCACCTTAATATATACCTTTTCAATTTACTAATGTGATTAAATCATTGAAAGTTTCTAAATATACTTAGTTCTTCATATAATCGGACGTATTGAAGACTAAATTTATGTGGTGTGTGTGTATAGCAACGCAGCGAAACTAATTAGTTTTGGCGCTGTGTGCTGCAGTGACAAAGTATCTTGTTATTTGCTAGAGGTAAGATAATATTAAATTTTTACTAAGAATAAATTACACCAATTTCTAGTAGGCGAAAGAATAAAATTGCGCTCATTTCCGAAATTATAAATAAAATTTCGTATACTCAGTGCGATATGGACGTTTTGCTAATTGCCATCTTTTCCTTATAAGCTACAATTCTAGTCAGTGCCTTAAACAAGTTTCGAGAAAATATCATCTAACTGATTTAAACTGTGAGAAGTGTTGTTGAATCACAAGTTATTCGGAGAAAACATCTACCTAAGGAGAATAGCAAATTAAACCTTATCAAGGCCATTGGATTTAATTTTGCACTTTCACGTAAGTATGTATATCTATGTTCAGAAGAATCGATTTATCTTTGATCATCAGTACATACAATGGTAGGAAATGTAGAAAATCCAAAATATCAATGCAGGTAAACAAACCCGGCTACAGAGAACGATCTCACTCTTATTTGATATTACGAGACATATCGATTCTCTTATACCACACAAAAACGTAGTTATACGTGCCATTAGAGATGCATACGTGTTATAGATGTATCTTCCGATTGCTTTCGGACATAAAAACAGGACGAAACAAAAATAAATGCAAACAATACAACATAACATTAATATTAAACATGAACGTTTCAAATATTCTAATAAATCTCATATAGTTTTCTCTAAATAACAAACGCGGGAATAATCAGTATAATACGGCATAAATTTTTGATGTTGACGGTAGTGAAATAAATAGAGAATTGTATTTTTTGAAAGTTAAACCGTATTCAATATACTTGGGTTGAATAAATATTCGGTTTGTTTCGACTTTGATCGAAATTCCTTGTCCAGTTATGTACACATTTAAATATTTTTATCGCGTAAATTCAGATTAGTCATTTAACACTTTTTCGATTTTCCCGAGTTTGATGAATTTCTGAAGGAATAATGAAACTTCCTGTACGAGAATTTACAATCTATATGAGACAGATTATTAGTGATTGCACTTCATACTCGTACTCCAGTTGTTGAGTGGTATTTTGCTCGAATTATTTCATAACTACGTCATAAATATTACATTATTAACCCTTTGAACACGGAGCCATATCGACATATGGACGAAATTCATCTGATCGTGCAGGCTATATTGGACCAAACGTCGGAGGCCTTTAGGCGCTCTTAGTAGTCGAAGAGTTAATATGGTATTAAACAAATTTATGAATGCTCAAGAAACACTTCTAGCAATTATAATAATTTTTACTCCGAACACATTTCGTAAATAGAGACCATCTGTTTTAATAGGTACATTTATTTCTACCGTTTTTTTCGTAATCGTTTTACAACTTTACGTTCTACGTAACACAGCAATATCAGAAAATTGGTCCCTGTACGAACTTGTGTTCGGCCATTCATTATGATTTAATTTCCACAGTCACTTTGGCCGTACTTTCGTTGTATGATACTCAGCTGTGTAGCACGCTCTCATTTCAGCTCAGAGGAAATAAGGCGAGTCTTCGTCTCTCACTTAGAAAACCTGCCAAGGCATGGGTCATTACATACTGTTAATTTCTTGCCTCTTCCTTTCACATTGTCTGTACTATTAACCTGAACAATATGCCATTTGATGTTTCCGTAATCTTTAACTAGGTTTGTTTAGCATGGTAGAATGTAGATACTTTGGAAAGGGTATAAATGGACACGTTGATGTACCGTATGTCTAGCATTTGTGATAAAACCTTGTAATATCAGCAGTTTTGCAAGGTACACCGATAGAATAAAGTCCATCGACATCTAATTACTCACTGCGGAGCTTTTTTAAGCCCTGCAAATTTCTACCGCGTTTACACACATTTCAATAAGATACGTATATACTTTTCCTGAACATATTCTCTTATTAACACTAAAACTACCGGCGAATTTTTTTTTTGTATAGTAATGGGCCATTTGAAACCAGTCATTTTGACTGGTCTTGGTAGTTCTAATGTTAATAAGTACATTAGAATCTGGTTATCTTGCACATATTGGGTCGGCATAAAACCGTAGAGGGGTAAATCGGGGATCCAATGAAACAGTTACCCACCGTAAAAAAAGATATTTGCAAAGATTGATATTCGTATCATTTCAGGCACTGACAATAACAGTCGTTTTACAGAAATAGAAGTCTGTGTTAGCCGTACAGCAAAGAGAAAGTTAGAGAAGTATCAATCAACAGCTACTTTGTGTCAGAATGCATTTAACTGAATTGAGTCGAATGGAGGGCTAATTACGATGTATGGTACTTTAGCCTAGCAGCTTATCTAGTGCCCAACATTTACTGTATAGAAAAATGTAAAACTAAATTTCAATGGATAGTCGGTACAAAGTGCATATTGCAGATTGTCAGGCAAAATCGTAGGAAGGCACAGAATTTCGTGCTATGCCTCTAGGTGCGTAAGGCAACTTCTTGCAGTTTCGTATCAGGAAGACTTTAGTACAATTAATCGTTACAGCAGTAAAAAATATAGTAGTCACTGTTACATCGCTTGCCACATACACGCTGCCACGAAAATCCATACGTACGTACACGCCTAAGCGTACACCCGCGTGTACACGCGTGCACCCTCAAACATTCGCTCGCCGAAGTATAAAGTTTACTAAAAAGATCCTATTCTCAACGTTGCGCACCACAGAATAACGGAGCCAAATATTATTGACTGTTTTTCTCGTCCACTGGCTATAATACTAGAATGCAACTGCATCCCTTGCAAGTTTGTCAACTCTGTTTAGACGTGTAGAGCGTGCTGCGATTGCACGTCGCGTGCAGCACACCGTGCAGTTGTCTCGACTCACGTCTCAATGGTTTTTTCATCTTGAAACCCGAGATGAATCCGAGCTATTTGGTTCAAGTCCTGCAGCATAGAATATACCGGTTTGCGTTAATCAAAATGTCATTGTTTAACGATGCACCAATGGCTATGCTAGGGACGGAGGATCCGTCGTGTTGAACTATCTGTACTACTCTGACGATGAGTACAGTGACCATTTGATGAAAGACACGTTTTGGTGGCTGACCGAGAGACTCTCGTTATTCTGTGGCCTCACATCCTCGGATTACGAGTTTTCAATATGTGCGGCACGTTATGTGCTCTCTCCACGTTTTCTCGAGGAAGCAACAATAGCTAGGTCCCATACAAACAACAATTTAAAGATACGCCTCGCTACAATCAATTTAAAAAGGGATGCACAATGAGTATGCGAGGTGGCCTGAGTGTTGCCAAGCAGTTATGACTATTCTCGTCAACTGAAAAGTATACTATGTAGAATGCAACGAAGAGGTGTGAGCTTCTACGAATACAACGATTGCGATTGCCACAACCGACGAGAAAAAATAGAGAGGCGATGTATTCATATTTACGTGCCGGTATGTTTCAAATAAATAACGAGGTGCGTCTATCTGAAGTTCAACAAAAATAGAAAAACATCGTCAAGCAATTATATTTATGGGACAAACAGACGCGCGCGCGCGCGCGCGCGTGCGTATATTCGTATATGCTCGAGGATGGAAATCAAAAGTAATCAAATGAAATTGCGAAAAATAATACACAAGCTACATGTGATGTAGCTTTCACTGATAATGGTCGCTGCTGGCTCATCGAGTTACAACTAATTACATTGTGTTGGTCTTAATGCAAGTACCATATAAGTATAGAATTTCCAGATTACATAGTCATTGTGCATCCTTAAAACAAAAACGTCATCTGGCATGCATATAACATGATGAACAAATGATCAAGTCAGTGAATAACTGATATTAAACAGACAAAGTAGACGCGGTGGGAAATATTCTTAATGTATTTTTGCGCATGCACCAAATACCCATTGCAAAGCAGTTTTGTATTTTACCTACCACACTTAAACTAAATAAGCAATCATGATATATACTGTACTGAATGTCCAGTAGTACAAGTTGATCATTTTAAACTTGAACGTCTAATCTCAAGTGACAAAATCGAATAATTTATATGAAAAAATGTATACGGCAAATTCGGTTTAGAAATAACGTTTTAAAGAATACGGTCGTGCAACGAAAGGTAGGTAGGGGCATTTGATATGAATGTTAGATGTTAAATGAAAAATTAGTACTTGAGAAACGATCAGGAAATATCGGTAACGATCGAATGTCAATTGTGGCAATTGTCGATTGCATTGGTTATAACTAATATGAAGTAACAATGCTACTTGCATTACCAATATTGACAATTTTCTTTACTCCCACAAAGTAATATTAGTTCTACTGAGATGTTTTTATAAACATTTGTTCGTATGTTTAGATCTGTATTTCATCCAAAAGAATTTGCTATACGTTTTGAAGACAATTTCAACGACCGATTGATCGGTAAGATTTATACCATCGATGGCTTAAATAAGGGGCAAGTATGCTTGTCATTTAATTATTCTACTTTACGTTGGGACTTCGACTAGCATGCTGTGAAAAATGAGCGTAAAAATACTTTGACAAAGTTAGTAGTACTTACCGTTTGGAGAACCTGGATGAGATTTTGGAGAAAAACGATGGCCTTGCCAGAGGAGATATCGCATTCGTATCCTGTGTGTGCGTATGACCCTGCAATTTGGGTAATTAATTAGTTGGGTTTTCAGATATACGATAAATGCTAACATTTTAAAAAGAGAGTGCTCTTCATAATAACGAAGCGCGTGTCACATGACAAACTTACTTTAATTAGAAAAATGTAACGTATGCAAGATTTTGAATTTCGACAACTTTATCGTACGAAGATTATTGGCATCAGAAACCTGTACAAAACAGTTGCCACAATAAATATCATAATTGAAGTAAGAAGCAACACTGTTGCACTAGTTCACGAACAATAGGCTGCGTCACATGTGGGTTTACACAGCACATGTGAAGGTCTTGCTATTCATTGCTTCACAAGGTGTCAACAACACGATATAAATAGATGCATTTACCTGAGTAAAAATTCGCTGTGCTCTGTTTTGGCCGGAATGGAACGTGCTGCGATTAGGAACGTTCCGAGGAAATGCTGGTGTGGTGGGAGTTGCCAGTCTGTTGCTTGGAGGCACACCCAAACTAGTACAAAATAAAATGGATATAAGTATTTTCTTCAGTGCACGATAGAAGAGATTTCCTGGCGGAGTGTGCATTGTTTCAAACTGAATTCAAGTAGTTCCATTATACACAACAGTCCCATTTAATCGTACATTGATTTTAATAATTACCGCTCTACTTCTGGAATAAGGTATAAGCTGTTAATTAAAAAATGAATGAATTCTAGCGATTAAACTTCCTATTCCATAGTTAATGCATACAAAGAGATGTCAGTATAAATTTTATGCTATAAAAACAGATTGAGAACAATAAAAAAAAAAAGAGCATGTTGGAAATAAAGCGGCCAGTTCAGTAAATGCTGCACTAAGGATGCATTATAATCCATCAATAAATGCTCACAAATCCGCTATAAGACAACATTGTTAAGTATAATCTTTGAGCTAAAAAGCGATTATTAAATTATGCGTGCAAGTAATATGACGATGCAACTGATATTAACATTGTATTTCGTTAAATATTTATATGTATCTAATTAAATGTTAATATTTATCCCCTATCAACCATACGTCTAAGAGATGTATGCAACAGATCCGAGGATTGCGTAAGGCACTTTATGTGAATTAGAATTTTTACCATGCCAAACTATACAATTATCAATTAAAATTTATGCTAAAACTCGTTCAGTGAAAAGTTGACGGGAACACTTTTGTATAACCTAGGTATATTAAACCCATTACGTTAATACATGGAAACACTCCACCGATGAATGAAACTATTAAAGCTTACACAGCACAAGTGAAATTAATGTTTAACTCTTTGACCCACTTACGGTAAAGTCAATAATAGCGATATGATAATGGTAAAAAAAATATTTTTCTGTCCAAATGCATGTAAGGCACGAAAATCTATTGCAATTAGATTGGATTCTTAAGAGCGCGTTTCGTTACGGACATTTGAGATTAGGAAAAGCAGTTTCAATGTAAAAGCAGCATTTTTATACACATCGTGGTACGTACACCCAATCAATGCTACCTGAAATCAATGCTTGATAGGTATTTATGAACTACGTATGAAAGTTCTACGTAGGATCGGTGTACGTGAGCATATGTGATCATGGATGAATGAAGATGACAACAGCCGAAGATTAGGCCGAAAATAAGAGCAGAGATAAAGGTGAAGGAAACCATGCAAACCAAATATTCGGGAAAGATCCTACATCGATTACCGGGTTTGACGTTTCATGCCTTCCTGACACTTCTTGTCTTCCTTCTACATACAATTCCTCCCGACCTCGCGCAAAGCGTATGTCACAATAATGACAGCTCGGCTACCGAACTCGAGATACCGGAAGTTACCCGAAAAAAGTTAGTCAGAGGCGCAATAAGGCAGGGCTGGCTTGACTGTGACCAAATGAATTAATCATATTAAAAGTATCACTAAAACATCAGTTTAAGTAAAATGGATTTTTACAAGGCGAGAATGATTCTTTGACACATCCTTCCACTTTTGTGCTCCTATTTTTTGGATGTACCAATAATATTCGTGCTACAGTGGCATCGAAGTCTTGTTCAAAAGCGAGGAGAGAAAAAGAGAAGGAAACGATAGTTCATTCCTACAAGAATAAACCGAATTCTTGCCTTTCCAGATATAAAATCTTATTACCGGAGTGCAACTTCTTTGGGAAGTAAGGGTTACAACCTTCGTTGCTCGTAAAGTATACTCCCTCGGTACCGATCACACATATGTATTATACGTATGTATCGCACGTATTTGACGCGAAACTCAGCCGCGTCCCATACATTCAGTAGTAAAACAAGACATTTATGTGACACAATTGCATCCGGTTAAATCGTCACATTCGGGATGGAGCTATAAAACTCCTCCTTAAGACCGAAGTAAATTATTCATCCGAAACTGGTGATAAAAGTGCTCGAGACTTGTACGGTTCCTTCTCTTCTCTTGCGTACATAAGTAACAACGTGTCTAATTTAAATGTAAAGTGCGATTCCTCGTCCAGCCCTACGATAAGGAAGCACTCTTCGGAGCGAAAAGTAAAGGTATAGATGCGGGTAATAAAGGAAGTAAGTTTAATAAACGTTGCTCGATAGGGAATTAGAGGGGCCTGTACCTCTGCCTAAGAGGGTCAGCAGTGGCGAGTAAGGGGTTGTGGGCGTTGCGTGGTTGAGGATCCAGCAGCGAGTGGTCGCTGGGGGGTATGCCACTCGAGGAGCGGTGCCCTGCACTGATGCTCGCTGACTTGGTGTGACCCCTCGTCGGCCTAGTACCCTCGCCCAGGCTGCGTACAAAACTAGTCAAAATTCTACCCGATCCTACTTCCCTAGCCGTTCTACCAATATTCCCGCCTTTCCGTTCTCTCAAATCTTTCGATTGCTCTCCAATCGACAATGAGGGCCAATCGTTATCGTCCGCAGCCAATTGTTACCGTCAATCCACCGACCTTGTCGTTTATTCCACGTACAAATCCACCGTAAACGGTATCGAGAGAAAAGTTCTAGATTTAAATAAATGTGTCGTTGCCAGCTAACGAGTGAACATTAATTTCGACGTTTCGGGTGCGATAAGTATCGAGACAAAGCCAAACTCATTTAGTACGCGGATCTTTTAAGTGAAAAGTCAGCGGATAATAACACGTTTAGTTGAATCTATCGTTTTCTGTCCTTGATATAAGGTGAGATCTGAACTTTTGTAGCAAGTCCCACTGATGACAATAACGCTTTTAAAGGTAGGAAGCTAGGACTCATTGGCATTTTCAAGTGGTCTCATATTGGAAACGGTGTCGGTTAAGAGCAGAATTTTTGTCGTAACGTGGTTATTAGTTTCGTTTCTGAACGACGGTTATAAAGGCATTTGACTAGGATATTTATAGTCGGTGACAATTTTGTTCGCTCTTCGCGAACCTGACGTGGCGCCCGTGTGCCATAAGGTGCGAAAATAATTTTGCATTGCTCGATGATTTGAAAATAGCTCCAATAAGAATGTACCACTTTCCTGGATGTCGTCTCATGTATCTTGATATATCGTTTGGATGTTAGAACGAGATACGAAAATTCTCCATAGGCTGAACGACCAAACGTAGGAAAAACTGATATATGCGTTACGCGTTTAGAAAAACTATATTCTCTCTCTCTCTCACCGTGGCTCAAGTAAAAGTAGACTCTGGACGATATTAATGCGAATACTCGTATGTACGGAAAAACTAAATATGAATCTAAAGCGCAAGATTATGAAGTATGAATGATAATGTTAATGAATGTTCCTACGTACACACGTTGAAAAGCCTACGTATGTTTCAAAACCACAGTAGACCGTGTGAAGGCAAGTATGACGCTTTACAGTTTTAGCAAGCATCTGTACACGTAAACATTAATTTCAGTAAGACTGTTTTGAGTAGTTCTCAAAGCCGCGAGATATAAGTAATTTGCAATCAACGAATCGCAGGCAGCAGTCAGCATGCTAGAGCGATGCAACGAATAAATAATGTCCGTAGGCTTTAAACGGCAACTCGTGTTAATTAGTGGTCGTTCATTCTTTTGATTTATAGTATTAGTCTACTGGTCACACAAATGCCTTACTTTGTACACTCTAGTGTTAGTAAGATTAAATGTAATGAGATATAGGAGATATTTCGTACACTGATAGTCATTAAAGAGATCCTGAAAGGAACATTGTCCCGTTCGAGAGTGAACAGAGATACCAGATGGACCTTATCGCTTTACACCAAATAGCAAATGTCTCCGCAATAATTTCAACGATTCTAACGTCTAGTATCTCTGCAGCCTGTAAGAGGTGTGTAAAATATAAGACACGTGAAATATAACGAGTGTCCATTGCGCAATCATGACACTCTCTGCCCAATGATCCATGTCTCGCAGCTTTCGAGCGCATTGTCAGTTTACGGCGTATCGGTGGCAATATCGAATCAATGGATCGTATTTCATTATACCTGGGTACATCGTTTGTTCTTTCTGTTGACGAAGAAGATGTCTTAGCTTGGTCATAGGAGATAGTACTACGTCGACTAACGGATCCAGGGGCGGGGGAGGTGAGGGGCCGACCACCACCTCCTACCCCGACGTTCATCGTGTTGATCTTGCTAGCTCGTCCTTTACCTCCAGGACTGGTCCCCATGCCTATAATGAACATTGTCACTGCAAGCCTCATTAGATATGGTTCAACACAAAACAAAGCAACGTAGAGTAAAGTAACACATAAAGGAAAGGAAAATCAATGTCTTCAAACAAAACAGACTGAAATTAAGTTTTCTAAAACACTATTTCCTTCTGGAGAGAAAACCGGGTGTTTTCCCATTTTAGATACCATAAGTAATACTTAATAATACAATTAATACGATTATCTGAAGTTCTGGAAGTTTTTAAAGACACAGACATGTTACGTGAAAATGTGAGATTAACTACTATTTGTTGTATTAGTACGTTATGCTCTGAATATGTATTACTTGAACAATCTACAATTGTTGGCATTCAGAAACAGTGCGCCATAGTCTGTATATTACAACTATGACTTCACAAGGACGTAATGAGTAATTTCAAGTACTGAATACTAGGAGTTTTGCAAATGTATAAATAGTATGTTCTAACTTCGTACTATGAAATTTTTATAAAGCTATAAAGCAACCGCAACCGGTCCAAGCGAACGGAAACTGAACAAATTTTCGTTAACTCCAACGTCACAGTTTATAGAGAACTTATATATCCCAATAAAAAGTGACTACCGTCAACAGTTACACTTTTGTACATACACAAATGCATGCAGCAATTGAGAAGTTCGAAGGTATACTCGATTTCAATCGAAACTGTGCAACTTTTGAACCAAAGCCGAACAGTTCGCTCACGGAATCGTGTACGAATAAAATAATACCGCCGTATTGAAATGTTCCGGACCTTTGACTTGAGTCTCAAAGAATAATGTAAACTCACTGGTATCGAGTTGTCCAGGACTATTTTTGGGTGCAGATGGTCGACTGTTAGATACGCGGGTACTGTTTTCTTTAATTGTAGCTGCATCCACTGTGTTTTGTCGTTTGAAATTGCTACCACCCGTTCCAGCAACCGTAGCGCCAGTCGCGACATTTGCATGATTGTGATTCGTTGCGTTACCTGGACTTGGCGCTCCGCCTATAAGCAATAAAAAAAAGCGATGGATATACACAACAATCGTAGCAACGACGATGACGGTTCTAACGTCTTCATAGTTTCAACTGGACAAGGACAAATTTCTTTAAACGACTCATGACAAGTGTTAACAATCTTGGATGACTTTACGGAAATTCGATGCCAAGGAAGGATTTTCATGCATCGAATTCATTTGCGTTATGATGTCGTTAGATCACGGGGACTTACGAAGGGTCTCACCACCGGACGATGCCCGCCTGCTGGATTTTGGATTGCTGGCGGAGATGCTGCGGTGTACGCCTCTGTGAGATGGGCTCTGGACGGCACCTCCGGTGCCTCCCCCACCGGTTCCTCCTCCACCTGAACTGACTTGCGGTGGAATGTTACGCAGCGACAGGGAACTACCCGACCGCGAGCCGTCACTTTCAGGCTGCAACACATATCATGTGATAAACGTAACGTCATGTGACGGGCACATGCTACCGATGATGTTTCTGAGCGAATTAGTCAGGTAACTATAAGTGTACAATGTCTTATGAACAGAGTCAAAGTAGGTTGTAATCGATTCTAATAAAATTCTTGATTGAAAAAAATTGAATCATATAGGCTGCAAACAAAATTTTCAAGTAGCTATATCTCGTACTACGATATAATTGAAACCGGACAAATACAAATCTGTAGAGTATTTAGAATAACATAGAATGTCACTCACATCTGTTGTTTTTCTACCGAGCAGAAGATACGTTGCAAATACGTCGTCATACTTCGCTTGTCCTAAGGAGTCTTCGATCTCGGTTCGCGAGTATCCCATACTCACAAGAGCCTCTGCAACAAAAATTCGCGTTACGCATAGCTCCGTTCGGTGGAAGTTCATTTTCGACATTTATTACACGTACAATTACGGACTTACACTGCATTAGTGCGGTTTAAATTTCCGCAACACGTTACCTTTCTTGGATATTAGGAGCTCAACGTGCGCAACGGTAGCGAACGGTGCATAAAAGCGTCAATGATTCCGCACGTGTTAAGTGCATCAGACGTCATCATTGACCTACTGTTATGCTGGATTCGCACGTTATATCGATGGGCATAAACAGTGCTATGAATTTCAATTCTTTGATTTTTAAAGACTATTGCGAACTGGAAGATTTTCACAAAGTTTAATCGGTTTTGAGAAACGTTTCCGTTATAAGTAACACATTATTAGTACCGACACCATAATCCAGCTACGGTATAACATATTGGGGCACGATTGAACTATTATTTTCTTTAATAGCGGTACCATAATCTAACGGGAATTTGTATTTAGCTTACAACTTACACCATACTTATTCGGAATAAGAGTCTTTCAATCACGATGCCAACGATCATGCACAGATATATCAGAGCAAAAACTTATAACTTACCAAATAAAGCGTTGGTGATGAGCGGTGCGTGACTTTATGTCAATAACGATAACTTGTCGTACACGATTTAATGAAACATGATATAGATATTCATTACTGGGATTAATAAGTCTCGATGTTTCATTAAACAATATCGAACAAGGGTTGTCTGATATATCTTCTGAAAGCCTTTGTTGCGCAAAATTCTTGGGAGCCAAGAACTTCACCAACAATTACGCTTCTACTATTTCGAAAGTAAACAGTCCAAATTGCAAATGTAAAATATTTATAGCAAGTCATATACATAGTCGAAAGCTCAGGACTGCGACTCATCGGTACAAGCGAAATAGTAAGAGCGCGGTGCATTATTAAAAATAAAAACAATAAGTAGTAAGTGTTATGTACATACTGGCAGACTCACCTATCCTCTTGTGGTCTTTGTAATCAGGTTCTGGCTCTAAGTACGGTTTTAATTCATCGTCTTCATATCCCATATTCATCCACTTGTCCTTCATTATATTCTATAAAAAAAAAAGAAAAGTAGATCGTGTACTGTCATCTTAATTCCCCAATACATTGAGTATACATATGAACAAGATCATAAACGTTTCCACGATACATTCCATTTAAAGGTACGCTTCGTTAGTACTTTACATTAAAAAAAAAAAATCGAATTCTACGAGCCTGTATCAATAGCAACAACGTTAACGAATCGATAACTAAATCTAAAATCTGTTCGTTCGAGGGAACATCGTTGAAGCGAACCACATAGCAACCCGGACGATTAAAAACTACACCAAGCATGGTGAAAAACTGTAGAAATGGAAAATTGGAATACGTTCGAACCTTGTCGCCACGTACCTCTAACGAGGCCCGCTTCATCGGGTTGAGCACCAGAAACTTTTTCAGGAGGCCTTCACAATCGGTGGACATGTAAAAGGGAATTCGGTACTTTCCTCTTAATACCCTTTCCCTTAACTCCCTTAGCGTCGAACCGTCGAATGGCAGTGAGCCGGATACTAAGGTATATAGGATTACTCCGAGCGACCACACATCCACCTCGGGACCGTCGTATTTCTTGCCTGCGGGCAAAGTCGACATTAAATTCTCCAAAAAAGTACAGAACAAACAAGTATATCCGAAAACGGACCACTTTAACACCATAATTACTCCTCAGGGAGATGTCAAAACAGAGCTCACCCTGGAATAGTTCAGGCGCCGCGTAGGGAGGCGAGCCGCAGAAAGTGTCTAACTTGTTGCCTGGAGTGAACTCATTGCTAAATCCGAAATCGGCTATTTTAATGTTCATTTCACTGTCGAGTAGTAAGTTCTCCGCCTTCAAATCCCTGTGAATAATCTTCTTCTGATGGCAGTACTGCACAGCGGAGACGATTTGCCTGAATTTCGCCCTGGCCTCTTTCTCCTTCATTCTCCCGTGCATCACCAGGTAGTCAAATACTTCCCCACCACTAGCATACTCCATCACCAGGTACAGCGTCTTTTCAGTCTCGATTACTTGGAACAGCTTTACTATGTTTGGATGGTCAAGCATCTTCATTATCCTCACCTCGCGAAATAGCTAAAACATTTCAAAGGTACGTGAGTAAACGCTCGTCCCGCTTCCTACGGCGAATATAGCCCGAGGAGTCCTTTTCCGTTCCGACGGAACCGACGATCCTAGATAAAACCCGGTGGAACAAATGATACCATCTCCCTACGTGTATAGATTGACTCGAGTTACCTTCTGAAGGCTGCCGGGATTAAGTTGCGTCTTGTCGATGATCTTAATAGCCACCTCCTTCCCCGTGGGTATGTGCTTGGCAAGCTTAACCTTAGCGAAGTTTCCTTTTCCAATGGTCTTCAGGAGTTTGTACTTGCCGATGTGAGGCTCCTCGGAGGTCCGACTTCTCGAGGACAATCGGCCTCCGCCGCTGGACACTCCCACTCCATCCCCCGTCTGCGTCAAACAATATATGTCATGTAATACCACTCAGAGAGAGAGAGAGACGCACCTTAAAAACTCCACTATCTACCGGGAGTAACTATTTATCCACTGGAAATAAGAAAACCCATTGGCGACGTTACGGCCCATCGTATGCAGGAAATTCATAAATGGATGCAAAATAACAGCTTGCCGTTGTCGCCGTTTCTACGTAATAATAATTTACATGGTATAGATTGAAACAGAAAACGATGTAATCCCATCTATTTTGTAGCAATACCCCATTGTGGTTACGTATTATGAAAAACCGAGGCTTACGATGGTAGAAAGATTTATAAATATGCGCCTGAATAAATCGAGAAAAAAATTAAGTTTCTCAGGAACGCATTCTTAACACCTTTAAACTGCAAATAGCCAGACTGTTTTTAAATGACGTCGTCGCAATATTTCTCTCTGCCAAGACTTGCAGAATGTCTCATCCGCGTGAGTTAAGCAACCATTTTGAAGAAGCCGTTTCATCATGTCCATACGTAACCTCAGGCCCGAGTATATACTCTTTTAATTCATACCGATTGTGAGTTAATTTCCTTGCATCGTCACAATAAGTGTGCTAACAATCTAGATACCGTGTCATTAGTTCTCATTAAAATGGTTCTACAGGGATCATGCGATACGTAACAAGATATGACTTGATACCAAAAGTATTTCTACAAAGCAAACTGTTCATCATTAGCTTGCAACAACTGTTACGATGAAATTTCTTGGCGATCATTAAACGTTAAATATCGTTAACTTAAGTTGCCTGTATTTTTCGTACAAGTTCTACTAGCATATGAAACCCTGATAAGGATTAAGATTAGGGGAACCCATCGAAATATTTCTTAATAATTACGTGACTATTATGATTTTTACAAAAAGCAAAATTTCTAATCCAATCGATTCAGACAAGAAACTCACTAAGGTCATACCAAAGAGTCGTTCCATATATATAAAATATCAAAATATTTTTAAAACTTTTCTCCAAACTGGATGCACCGAATCGTTGGGAAGTTCAGCATGTGATTATGGAGGCCCTAAGAAAGAACGTGATGCTCGTGAAATTTCATTAAAAAAAAAAATATGTATTATTGGTTCTAGTCTGAGATAAATAAAAAAAATGTTTGTATCAAAAGCTTTTTTATCAAAACCTTGTAACAAAAAAATGTTTACGTGCTATTGTCAACAAAATAAGTTATAGGACTGGTAGAATGAAATTAATAATAATTTGAAATGATATTCAATTCCTTTAAGTTTAGATTCATCGAGCTTTTAATATCTTTCACTATACTTTTTGCATATCGACATCTTGGAACGAAAAGTTTATTCGCTTAAAAATGAAAGAATTAATAATATTCTTGTATCAAAATAAAACTTCATAGATTGTAGTAATTTCTCCGTTTTCTGCCAAAACTACCCCATTTATCGGTGAACGTAATCTTCCATCGTTTTGGAACAATATTTATTTGCCGTTAATAATCTTTTATATCAACTATTAAGTTGTTTGAGTCACAACATATTACCCACAAATTTATATGAATTCCACCAATATTTTTAATCCACAAAATCAACATTGGGTATAAATTCGTTTTCCCAAAATCATTTCCACTTCATATAACATCGTCATCATTTGACTCGCAACGGCGATGGTGTCCACACACAGAAAAGAAATTTGGTTGATTCAACAAACTCGTTTGATCGCCTGCATTCATTTTAGAAAATGTTTTGGTTCAGTGAACCGAATTTTAACTCACTCGAGCGAACTCGTTTGCTTCAATTAACCAAAGTGTTTCGGTTAAGTTGTTTTATTACCTTCAGAAAATATTTTAACGAATAAACCAAACATTTCGCTGAAATACATCAAATTACTCCAACATATGGCACGACCTATCACAATATTTAACGTAATCGACCAAAGTATATAGTCGAGATAAAAATCCGTTCCGTATTCCACGATCGCACAAACGCCGAATTAAGCGGAATAGAGTTGAAAATAGGCCGTGAACGCGAGCGATGATTACCCGCAATAGGCCGCGAGTGACCATCTTGCAGGAGGAGGTCGCGGCAACCTTGGAGGCCGCCAGTTTGTCGGGTGTCGTCTTCGAAGCCGAATCACAGGGTCCCGCCCCATAGGAGCGGCAGGAGCTCGCTCACGCTGGAAGCTGGGGCGAGGCGTCGCGAGGGGCGCGGTGCCATCATGGGCCAAAGGCTCGGGTCCGGGAAGAGGGGGCGAGGCCCGGTGGGCCCGACAGAGGGCGCCTAGCGGCGGGGCCAGGCCGAGGATCGCCACACGGCCCCCGGGGCTGCCCTCGGGGCCGCCCTCGAGGCCCCGACCGGGCTCGCCATCCTCCTCCGCGAGACAGGCCCCGTGAGTGAATGATTCACCGCCTCGCCTCGAGAGAGGCCCGTTCGTCCCGTTCGAGTCGCCGCTGGCTCTGGCCCTCCCTGCTCCCCGGGCGAAACTTCGGTGTCGCGGGTCCACGACCAGAAGTCCACTGTCCCTCGTCCTCCTCGAGTCCCATTTAACCGACCGACTCCTGCACACCCCGAATACACTCTTAAGCTCGAGGGGTATATCTCCCCAACCCCCGGCAATCCCCACGTGTCCGTCTGCCACCGTTCAGGGATCCCGAAACTTCGCTATCTCACGGAGCATCTTAAGGAGAGCAGGGGAGGATCGGGTACAATCGAAACAGTTTTTAGTGGAGAATTATTTTTCGTCCTTCCGCCCGAAAATATTTCTACAAATATCGTGCTGGAGTCGGAACTGTAGCGATAAGATTTAGTCACTTAACTGCAGTTACCTTCGTTAAGAGTTGCAGAAAAAAGTAGTTTAAGTCAGAGTTGTAACGGGTAAGAGGGAAAAGACCGAAATAATAGAGATAATTCATTTTTAAGAGACAGGAAAATTTCATTCACACGAAAGGATGGATAAACTTTTATGCCACCGATACCTCGCGAACAAACCAATATGAGGGAATTTAGAGAAGTGTAAACGCTAACTGGAACTTATTTATTCCGAGGCTTCTCAATTAACCGCCTTAGAAATAGGAAAAATATCGTTCACTCGAGCCGTCTCGAATTGACCGGTCACGTTTTGGAGGATCGTTTGGGTCTTCATTCAGGTGTAAATGGTGTTCTCAGATTTTTACATAAATATCTGACGTAGGGGAGACCGAGGTCAAATGAGCCCATAAGTATGAACGTGGTCTTAGTCGAAATTTAAAAAAAAAGGAGTTTATCAGTTATTTCACCCCACAGTATTTTAAACTAAATTAATTCAATGTAATTTTTACGATATTGTCAAAAATGAACCATTAGAGAGTGGTTGTAACTTCAACATTATATGGAATTCATTTAGTGTTAATTATGAAAGTGGTCTAAGTAAAAAATTTAAAGAAATTATGTGAATATGTTAATTATTATTCAGATATGGTGTGATTTGCAGATATTATACGATCACGTGATACTTCTTTAGATGATTCTAAATTCCACGTTTTGGATCTTTCACCTGAAAGAGGAAGGCCAAAAATATACGGAAATATTAAATTACTTCCATTATACACCACCACTAGACAGTAACGGAAGAAAAACATAAAGATATATGTTTACTACCATACATCCCTCCAGGTTTTCAGGAACATTTTAAGAATCTTAAAAACTCATAATGATAAAAGCCTAAAATGATAAAAATGGAATACTTTTTAAAAATAAGTAATAAATGTTCATGAATTATTTTATTAAAATTATTGTTTCTAGTAAAACTCGTAGTTTTTTTATTGCTTTAAGTCATTTATAAGACATTCAGTTAATTTTGAAAATGGTCTAAGTCAATTCACACTTTAAAAACAACATTTTCGTATGATATTCACACAAAATTTCATATTCATAATATATTTCCATTAATCAAGACTAATAAAATTCTAAATTAAAATGTTGCATAATTTAAAAAATGCAATTCATTAAATATCTCGAAACAAGAAATATATGACTTAGACTACTTTCATAATTATGGGCACAAATGTAACACGAGATACTTGTAACAAACGTTATAAATTATTTATTCAAACTTGAAAAATCGTGGTTAAACAGTGGTAGCTTTCCATAGAAACCAGGAATATCTTGTAGTCGTTTCATGTTTATTAAAATCAGGCGTTCTCTTGTTATTTTCATTTTTCGTGATACGACATAGGTCAGTAATATTTTTATGAGTTCAATATTTTCGATTTATATTAAATCTAAAGTGGATAAAACTGATTTAATCATACCACACTATTGCACCTACAGATGTTCATATGTTTAATGCATTTGAAAGTAGACTCGCTCTAAGTTGCTGTAATTGTATCAATTATTTGAAAAGAGCCATTGGGGACAATTATAATAAGTCAGACTGTCACGAATGTAACATGGAACATTTGACCCCGATCTACGTTCCCCCGGATAAATCCGATACAATATAACTCTTGCAGATTCTGTGAACATGCCCCGTGTCCGTAAAGAGATATCGAACCGAAATCCATTTGGAGATATCATGAAACGTGTTGCAAATTTAGTTATGAATAAATGTCGCAGTCAGAGGAGTGTAGTTCAAGATTTCGAAATTGGTCTTATGACTTCAAATAGGTACATAAAAACCCTAAAGGAAGAGAAGGAAATGGTTATGCGTTACAAACCCGCCAATCCTCAGATTTATATTTCGGATTAGCTCCAATGGATATACGTAGCCTTTTACATCACAGAAGTAAAATGGGCCAAATCTGGATTCAGTGCCACCAATGCAAGAAATGATCCTATGAAAAATGCATCAGTAAAATGGAAAACAAGATGGACCATTTCTACTTTTACTGCTCGAAATGTATTACTAATTATTCGAAAAGAATTATTAATTAAAAATATGACATTTATATTTATTTATTTATATACGTATCCTGTATAAGTAACTTTTGTTGTGTTCATACGTATTTTCCAGAACATAGTTA